GATCTGTGACATTCTCTAGTGTTTCCTCCTTTGGACTCCAAAATAAAATGTTCAAAATTTGAACCAATCCCCTTTCACACTTCTTAGTCCGATATCTTTGAGATGTCCTTACCATTGGAACTCCTTGAAGATAATTTTTCCTTAATTTCTATCGAGAGTATTCTTAGGTAACTTCAGTTATCTAAGATGTAATTAACTATAGGGGCTTGCCCCTATAGGAAGCTTTTCCCGAACCCAGCATAATATAAACCCTATTTAATTCCTTATATTAAATAGGGGAATTTGTCGGCCAATATATTGGTTTTCGCAGACCAAACAGATGTCATAACTTTCTCTAGTTTATTTAATCGAGTCTCACCCTCAATTCTTGTGTTCATCCTTTGGGATAGATACAGGATTTGAGGTAAAGCGCTCTTTCATTTAAACTATGAAAATTATGGGGTCAGTTTGACTTCATCTTTTTCAAAACTAAATTTTTTTAACGTCCTTCCGAAGCGGGCAACGGATTTTCGATTCCGATGACCGACAGCTTCTTACGGACAAACTCCACACCAAAAATAGTGCCGACAACGATCAAATCTAAATTCTTGCAAGTATTTGCATTGCTTGCATGGCATGATTTCTAAAATATGCATAAAACTACCGATTATTGCATGTCGTTCTGTCGGATCGATCGATATTTTTCATCAAATCACCCGATCTCTCCACCGGCTCAATTGATGCATTTGACAATCTTTTTTGACTCGCTCGATCGGCCTCACTGGCTCGATAAAATTGATCGATATGTTCCGTCGGCTAGCCCAATCGGCCCCATTGGCCTGATCGGCAAGAACAACAATATTTTATCAACTCATCTGATCAATCACATTAGCCCGATTAGATTGATCTACATGTAGTTTCATTGGCTCACTCGATTAACCCCACTGCACGACTGATAATATTTTTTTGACTCATTTGATGGGTCGCACTGGTCCCATCAAATCGATTAATATGTTATGTCGGTAAGGCTATCGACTTGGCTTATTGTTCACGAACAGCTCGTGTTCAACTTAACGAATGAGTCGAACAAGAATAAATTTTTAAGCTCAAAATATAAACGAGCTGAACATGAACAAATTTTTGTTCGCTTGTGTTCGGCTCGAGTTGACTCAAAAAGAAATAAATAAATATAAATTTACATACATAAGACCCAATTCTTATATCACATAAGAAAGATACTTTCGTTTTGGGCATTTACATGCATACCTCCCAATTTTTTTCGCTGACCCAGCGTGCTGCTTTGAAAAACAACATGCTATTTACGACAACGGTGTTATTTGTCTATTTTCGGCATCAACAACACCGTAATAACACCACAATAACACCACAATAACACACCAATAACACCGCAATAACACCACAATAACACATCAATAGCACTGTGGGTTTCCTCAAATAACACCGCAATAACACCACTATGACACTGCAAATTAACTCGAATAACACCCCCGCCAAAATACGCCAATAATATAGCAATAACACCATTGCATTAAATACATGTGTGGATGGGAAGAGTTTTCCATCTTGGGCAATGTCTAACTTTTTTCTGTGAATGAAGTCGGTATATATGATGATGTCAAATATTATATTACTCATAGCAAGACGTCTCTACTGACTTTAAGTGTTGTGGGACGCCCACAGACCCGTCCCCCTTCCTAATTCTCGCCTTGTTAGGACTTGATTAGACAACTGCATTGTACTGCATGCCCCGAGGAAAAATCCCCGTGCATCTGCGATCTGACTGACCCAACAAAAAATTTATACTTAGATGGTTGTCTAGCACGTTTAGGGTGTTAGCGCTTCCCTGACCCAGATGGGGAGTAATTCTTTTGTGGGAGTTTTTCTAACTTTGTAGTTAAACCTTCCTTTCTCTTTCACTTCAACTGCATCCTCGCTAATTTGACAAATATAAGTTCTGCCTTTGTTCTTCCTACCAACATAGAGTCATAGGATTAGAGTTTATCTCTTGAACTTAGGGCTACCGAGGTCTCTTTGGATGACGCAATTCACGGATTGTTGACCAAGGTGTCTCCGGTTGTGTTGGGTTGACTACCTTCACGACCAGGTAGACTTGAGGTCCTAATAGCTTCAGATGATGAATTCTTGGTATCTTAATCATACTATCTCTACCTGATTATGATCATTGTACCTTTCCTTCGTTATCCCCTTTGAGCTCTATCACTCCTTTGCCCCCTACGTTGAAGTTATTTGGCGGCCCTCACTTAGCTAACATTTCAGTACCTGTTTGGGATACTATTTGTTCTCAGCCCTTATGGCACAGTTTGGCTTCGAAGCAGTGGGTTGTTTCCTACCAGACGACCTGGTTATTTCATAGACCCTAATCACTGATGAGTCGCTACCCATTTGGGACGTCAGAGATTCACTTTCTGCTCTATGGCTTAATGAGAGCTCAGAAGATATCAGGATGCTCCTGTTAGATCACTATCCCCTTTGAGAGCCCTTGCTAGCTGTTAATTTAAATGCAAATACAACTTCTTTTCATCAAGAGTATTTTTGGTCATCCCAATATATAATTAACCAAGTGGGATACATCCCATTGGAAGTGCTCTTGACCCTAAAACAAGAAAACAAACTTGAATCTCTAGTTTTGGGTTGTTTAAATAGGCATTCTTTTGTTGATATTCGGTTCAAGGTGTTCTCACCTAATCTTATGTGGGCGAACACACTCACACAAAGTTTATCACACGTTGGCCCTCCATGTTTTTCTTTCTCTTGCTTGTCTTCATTGTCATATGTCTCTAATTTTTTTGATTCCTCTCTTCTTAAGATCATTTATATGATCCAAAAGAGAGATTCACTTGAAAAAAAGAAGTATACAACGATGGACAAGCTATCAACTCCTTTAAAAATAAAAAAATACAATAAGAACAGAAAACACTCTCAATAAGACGCAATGGAGAAAAAGAATTCATGCGGCCGACATCACTTAGTGGGATAAATGCTTATTTTTGTTATTGTTGTTGTGTAGTAGAGAATACTAAAGTGGTAAAAGGTGATGATAAGAAAGCGACAATGGTAACTAGATGATGACAAAAGGGCAATGATGACCAGGTGATTGCATTCAATAATAGCACATGGGTGACAACAACTAGCCAGACAATAATAGCTGCTCATAGCGATCGACAATAATGAATATTGAGCAGAGTTTTAAAGCCCTTCAAATCTCTTAGTTTTCTCTCTCTTCATGTCTCTTTCATGTAGAGAATGAGGAGACTATTTATAGTTCTTAAAAGTAACATTTTGATAATTTTAACAAAAATGGATGACTGATATTGATTCATTTAATTTTAGAACATTATTTAATATTTTGATTCCTTAATTATTCCTTTTCGATATATTTATTAGATTCCTCTTATGAAGGCTCTTATATTTTACGATAAATGCATAAATATTATAGATCATTTAATCCTTCCAGTAATATCATATAATTTTTAACTACATCTCATGTGCTTATATACTGTGCCCATTTTTAGTTATTAAAATCATATTCTTGAAATCTTCAATCTAACTATAAATTTCTTAAAATTTATTCTAGGATGATCCTAAATATAAATTTAAATACTATCTTTTTTTTCTTAGACTAAAGAACCATTTTTCAAAAATTTATCCCTAAGGTGTATCATCTTATCAATTATAATAACACATTTACTCACCATTGCATACAATAACAAAATCCTTATGAAAGAGTTCTTAAACCAAAAGACTTAAAAAATATTGTCAAGAAACTTACTCTAAACCCTTAATACAACTTCATTAAGAAAAAAAAATCAATTTATCAAAATTTACTCATCATTAACTCTAAAAAACCCCCCTAATTCACTAATACTTACTAATAAATAATTGCAACAAAAACCAGTCATTAAATTCATCCCAAAACAATTCAACAAAACCATTACCTCTCATCTCATCAAAATCAGCTCAAAATACCTAACCCTAATTTCTTTCCTTCAGCACCTTAAAAGTACTTCCACTGTTCGAACATCACCCAAAAAAACAAAAAAATAACAAGCCGTAAGGTGTTCAGTTCCCTTCCCATCTTCCTTAAACACAACATCCATTACTCCACAAATTAACTCCATGCAAACCTGAACCACAAATTCAAAAAATAAATAAATAAATGAAAGAAAGAACACTCCTGACTGCATCAAACCTTGGTTGTTGACCTATCTATTGTTTTTATTCTCAGCAACCTTAATATTAAATCTCTCAGCAAGCATATAAAATCCAACTCATGTTAGTGACAACACATCAACTCTCCTTAATTATATGTTCCCTCTCACCATTCAATGGTGAATTCAATTCCCACCGATAACCCCACCCTCCATTTATTACTCTTGTTCTTAAATTTCTCCCTTTTTTTGAGCTTTTTTTTAAAGCCAAAGCAAACTCTTTGTTTTCATTTAACAAAACACTCTTCCAACCCACACCTCCATTATTTGTTCAAAATAACACCAAAGCTCTCCTCTTTCCCCACCAAATGGAAAAAAAGTTGTCTTTTAGCCCCGTTCTCTTCCACAAAACTCCTATAGACCCCAATCCCTTCTCCTCCACCTCTCCTCCTTCCCCATGGGAGCCTTCTCTCGATCTCATTTCATCGATGGAGGACGAAGAAGGAGATGAGGAAGAGGCCGTTATGCGCGGGCTTCGCTCCGACCGCCGGCTTCATCTTCGATACCGGCGGCGGCAAGAGCTCGCTCCTCGTCGAAACAGGGGCGCCTCCGTTCGACGGTGGGGTGGCCGTGGCCGTCGACTCGACCGACCCCTTTGGAGATTTCCGAGTATCCATGGAGGAGATGGTGGATGCTCATGGAGTATCAACGGACTGGACTTGGTTGCAGGAAATGCTTGGCTGGTTCCTAAGAGCTAATGATAAAGGTAACCATGGATACATAATTAGTGCTTTTTTGGATTTGGTTGTGAGTTTGGCTTCATCTTCCTCCTTCTCTTCTTCCCCATTTGAAAGTTGTCCTCTTTCAAGTTCTTCTAGCTCTTCCTATACTTCTTCTCATCAGGTGGAGGAGATGGAGGGGGGAGAGAATGGTTAATGGATGACATGGTTTGATTTGATATTGGAGATTTGTGTTAAAGCTTGGTTTCAGAGCTTTCATGGTGGTTTCAGTGCATGGATTTAAAATATATATATATATATATATTTATTGTGGTGAAGATCTGGCTTTAATTTTGCGGTTTTGGCAAGTAAAGGGAATTCATACCAACATGTATGATTTTAATTACTGCAACAGTGTCTGCAGTTAATGTTTAGATGTTAATATTGTGTCAGAGTTTTACAATCTCCAATGAATTCTCTTGCTTAAAAAGAACTCTCCTCAGCTTCCAATGGCCTATTTCTTAATCTGGCCTTTGTAGGGACTGGGTGGGAGTTTATTTGTTTAATGATTTATTTTATGTCTATATATTAATATTGTTTATATAATATGAATTTAAAAATATTATATATTATTAGGTTTATAGATTAATGTTTAGTTACTTGGCTATTTAAAAATAGTGAAAAATAATTAGAATGATATTTTAAATATATTATTTATAAATTAAAAACATAGTAGCGAGCGATTTATTTAAATAAATATTCGAGAAATCTGACAAGTTGTCCACAACGTGAATTAATAAGATACAATCCACGCTATCATTCGAGCAAACGCCGATATATTTTCTCCTATTTGAGAGGGATCTTCAGCAATTTCATTAAACTTTATAGTTTGCATTTATGAAGTTACATTCATGGCGTAACTTCGACGATGTATTTACAAGTCTAACACCTGAATTTTAATTTTTTTTATATTTATACCTCTTAAATATTTCATGGTACCTTGTAAAATATCTTTATTTTAACTTTTTGATAAATGAAATATGCATTTTCATGTATAAATAAAATGACATAGAAGGTAAAAATTGAAATTTAGATGATAGATATATAAATACATGGGAATTGAATGGTATGTATGTAAATCTTCCAAAAATGTACGTCATTTTAGTATGTCAAAGTAGAATTTAATAATATATGGTTTAATTCATCCCCCACTTAATATTGAAGCAATGAAAAGGGCATAGAACGTTAGCGAAGTGTACTTAACGCAAAATGAGAGACATTTCAATCGACTCCAAGCTTTTTTTTTATTGGTGTAGTTAACAACCAAAATTCCAAAAAATTAAAATAAAAATAAAAAAGGTATATATTGATAATATTTTTAAAATATTATAAGAAAAAAATTTGTAACAGTAAATGATAGACCTCTAATAAATCTTTGTCATCAGGCACAAATCTCCAGACATGATATGCATCTCCAAATAAAAGAAATATCCAAACTTTAATTAATAGACAGACACAATGGTACTAATATGAGTCCAATTTGAATCAAATCAAACTCAGATCAAGTCATTAAACCACACTTGAAACTTTTCGAGCATTTCTGGAAAGTCAAACAAATGTTGAATCTGGTAAGCTTATAGTAGAATCAAACATATTGTACGAGATAAATTCAATGAGTCCATGATCACTCAATTCTGACATCATTAATGCACTCAAATGTACATCAAACAAAGTCTAATTAAGGTAAGCCCTCCAAGTCGTCCGATCAAAGCGTTCATATTCCTTCATGAATTGCACCCAAAACTTTATAAAATAGAGCCCCACCCCTCTTGAGAGGGGGAGGAAAAGCTTGAAGCTTTAAGAATGAGCTGAAGTTCAACATCATTTATGTCATTGTCGACGACCGTTAACCACCAATTGTCGACAACCATTAATCACCATTGATCTTCGCCCATTTTTTGTGACAATGTCCTTCGTGCATCGACGTCGTAACTCGAAAGACTTTGTAACATTTTTCCTGCCCGTTGGACAAAGAGGTTGTATTTGTAATCTTTAATTCATAGTTGATTTTTTCAACTGGGTCAGACCAGATGATTTTTTACCTTTATGGGTTTTTCACAAAAAAATATCAGGTGACACTACTAATTATTTTCTTTCTTTTGAGTGTGTGTTGGATTCTCGTGCAAAGATAAGACGATAATTTATCACTCTACTGTCACGAACCTTTTATCACACATTAGTAAGAATTATTTATCTACTCAAAGCCGTAAGTAGTTATTATTTTCTCATTCGTGTCATAATCTATCTTTTGTTGTTGATACATCCTCTAAAAAATATCGTTGTGCATGAATCTCGAAACATTTTGAGCAAAGGACAATTCCAAATACAAATTCATGATCATCCGAGTTTTGATTTCAGCAAGCATATAGTCAAACTGGCCGTCTCAACAAGGAGATCACAATTCAGTCCAAATTGGTTAAATCCGAGTCTAATTAAACCCAGATCAAGTTGCTTAACCTCATTTAGAGGCTTTGGATGAATAATTAAATTATCAAATGAATTTTAAATCTGAAAAATATATATTCAAATTAAATGTCTCATCGGGCCAAATCCAATGGGGGTCAAAATCACTCAATTCTAAAATCACTAAATAACTCAAATGCTCATAGAATATCATCTGATTAAAGGGATCACTCTAGGTCGTCTGATGGAGTTTTATAGTTTCATGTAGTATTTAAAGAAGATGACTCTTATAAAATCTACAAAGAGACCCCACTCCTTTCATGAAAGGAGACCTGGGACCTAGACTTGAGAAAACTAAAGGAGCTACAAGCCATTGAGGATTTAAGAGCTCCATAACCGCCATACCACCACCGAGTGGCCTGCACCACCATAGGACCATTGTTTCCCAACCACCACCATCGAGTTAGTGCCACCTCCATGCAACCATCGCCGCTTCCCGACCACCACTGACTACCGCCACAAAACCGTACAATTTGTCGTTGCACGCCACAGCCACCGATGAACCACCGCGAATCACCACCGCCGAACAGTTGTTGCACATCCGCTGCCAATGAAGAACCACCGTTGTCACTTTGAGGCCACAAAAAATCGGCCTCCGCCACTACTGAACTGTTGCTGCCCAACTTCACTATATCCCCAGAGATTTAAGAGCAAGCCACAATGCTAATAACTTCTGAGTATGTGATTTGTGATGTTATTTCTTATTTTTTTCAATACTTAAAAGTTAAATATTTAATAAATTTATCTACCCCTACATTCAAACCTAAACATCCTTAGAATAATATTAAAATTTATCTCTTCCTATAACATTTTATTGTTCTCTTAAGAATACATCATCAGCACTTTAATTAGCTATCGGAATCGTGCCTCTCACATTTTGGCAAATGAAGTCATAAACCATGACATCAGAGTAATTTGACAAAAAATATTTTAATGCAATAGGTTTTACATAATATACTTTTAAGAATTTAAAATTCTAAAATAAAATAAATTATTTAATTAATTTTATAGAAAATGTTAATGGTTAGTTAGGCGATAGTGGCATAATTGTGTTGATCAACCCGTGGCAACCCTGCGATGAAGGTTGGTGAGTGGTGGTTCAGTGGTGATAGTTTCGATGTAATGATTTGAAAAATGACAGTGGGGTTCGATAGTAATTGGGTGTTGATGATTGGCAGTGGTCCGACAAATGACAGTCAAACGATAGCCGAAGGGAATTGTTATGATAGAGCTCTATGGTTCTTCAAATTTATGGGTCGTCTTTATTAATTGATATCTGACTTGGCTTTTTGGTTAGCTAAATTTTTGGAATACTACGTTTAATTGCTTAGAGTAATCACTCTTTATCAAATGACATTTTTTTAATGTGTGAGTGTCTTAATGTTTTTGGAATTGGAGAATCTTAGTCTCTTTTAATTTGTCTCGTATAGACACTCAATTTGAATGTAAATAGTATGCACGATCTAGTTCTCCATTTAATAACTTAAATTCTTAAGTTGAATATCACCTCCAAATCTCAAGCTTTTTTTTTGCATAAAGCTAAACAATAAAAAATAAAAATAAAAATATTATGCAGACACAAAAAATACAGCCACAAATCTCAAAGAGAACGAACGACCAAGATGAAAGAGCCTCCTCTCGAGGTAAGCATTCAACCAATGATTCAAAGCTGAGCATGGAACCAGTCTCCAAACTCATGATAAGTTCAAGCTTTAGAGTTGGTTCCCCGCTCGGTAGTGACAAGACCCGCCTAAGATGAGGCATAAATCATCCCTTCATAGAGTCTCATCAAATACCCCACATAGATTACAATAAGATTCGTCTAAGACTTTGCAAGATTGGGAGATCTGGCCGAGGCGATGAGCCAACCTGACAGGTGAAACAAGAGCCCTGCAAGACTCGACCCAAACGAAAAATGAACCATGACCCACTCAACAAAAAAAGTCAATCGATCACGTTCGACCAACCAGTCCCGCGTTCGGACCGAACAACCACCTCAAAACCGACCTCTCTAATCGACCGTGCTAAAAGACACCGAGCAAAGATCATCATGTGGTTGAACACCTCGACCAACCCACGCGTACTTCAGAGGCCACAGATGTCACTCGGCGATCACCTCATTCAGCTGACTTCAATTCAACCGACCAACTAATTACCGTCAATGTTAAAATTCAAATTGTAATGCAAATATAACATAAAATCTATACAATCAAATTAGAGCCTTAATGACATGAAGAACGGTTTCCATAACCGTTCCCTTCTTTCAGTAATTGTACAAAACATATCTCTATAAGTATGGGGAAAAAATATAAATAAAGGAATCTTTCCTCAATTCTCTCTACATAAATTCCAGACTTATTCTACTATCTCTCTTCCTTTCTCACCTTCTCTTTGCTCTAACACTCATGACGAGATTCACAAAAGATAAATGAGTATTCAACAAATCTAAAATGTTTAAATTTTATGTTTATCATCGTCATCTTCATACTCAATATGACAAACTAAAATATAAATACTTCTCTGTTTTTCTAAAAACAAAGAATAGAGCAATACTTTATCCACCCAAAAATGTAATAACAAATCACCTCATAACATATAAAAAATTGTAAATAATAATGCATCAGAATACATTATTTCTCTTACATATTTCTTACATATTATGAAGTCAAATTTGTAGATGACTAAAATATTAATAAAAATATAACCATGGAGTGTATTTTATGCCTCAAAGCTCAAAGGCATGTGATGATGAATTGGATAAAGATGGAGGTGGGTAGTTAGAGAAGATAACTATAGTTTAAGTATTTTGTTAGTGTTAATCAAGCAGCGCATGTTTGGGTGAGATCACAGAAGGTATTGGTATCAAATAAAAAAAGAGAGGGGCCGTTTGCCTACTTGAGGACCAGATTGAGATTGAGGCCACCGGCCATGTGACTAGGAGAGCT